ATAGGTTGAAAGATATGTTAGCACTATGATCTTATTATTGTATTATGGCCTGCATGATTCTGTCTCATGCCCCACTGATATTAGTAATGAGTTAGGGTCGTCGAGTCTATTGTTATTTCTGCGGCCTGCATGATTCTGCCTCATGCCCCACTGGTCATAGCGATAGATGAGATCTAACATGTTCATTAGATTTATTTTTAACAAACAGCTAAATGGTGTTGAATTGTTTCTTTATATAAAAAGGGGTTCGGTTACTCATAATCATTGACTCAGCACAAACCGATCATTGTTGACATCTTATTGCCATTGATTAATATCTGTTCGATCAATGATATTTGCCCTAAAAACTGATTCTTCTTATACAACCCAATGAGCTTTAATCGATTTATTCTCATGAATATGTTGGAATCGACTATTTAGTCGATCTCCTTTCATATCAGCTCTCATAGCCGCACATTCAGGACTGTCTGGCAACACCAGCAAGTTCCGCCCTTAATTACTGATGAACTTTCTCTCCTTGTCAATTACAGGGTCAAATTGACTGGCACGTCTTGGGAGGAGTGCGCAGGATCGACCACCCTTGCGCTGAAGCTAGGCGGATCTGCTCCATCGAGCGGACCCTTCCGGCTTGCTGCATGTGTCCTTGGCACGGGACGAAAATTCTGTGTCGACAGGAACATCTTCGGAATGCTCTCATCATCCTTCATCTTAAAGCTTATCAACTTGTCATTGAGAATGTATAACTTTGCACTCTTCAAAGCCGGTGTGCCCTCATATGTTTCTTCCAATCTCTTCCATACCTCATGATCTCTCTCATAATCGTTGATTTGCTTAAACACCTTGGAATCAATGGCATTGTATATGGTGTTGAGAGCCATCGTATTGCATTGCTTGTTGGCCTTGTCTTGGTTGGTGAGATTGTCAGGATCAATGATAGCATAGTCACTCTCGGCCACATCCCATACATGATCATTGATTGAACCAAGATACATCTTCATCTTTCTCTTCCAATAATCATAGCATGTGCCATCAAAAAATGGTGGTTTACCCCCTACATGGTTGAACACATCTTAAGCCATAATTTAAAACCGAGGTTGTTAAGCCTTCAATCAAACGGTGACCACGGCTCCAATACCACTTGAAAGGTCATAATATGGCTAGAGGGGGGTGAATAGCCTATTTAAAAATCTACAAGATCACTAGAGCAATTTGATTAGTATGACAAAAAGCGAAATACAAACTTGATCTAGCTCTACAAGGGTTGCAAGCCACATATCTAACAATACTAGTTGCTAAGATCACTAGGCACACAAGAGGCTAGGTTGCTACTCACTAAGAGCTCTCAAACTTGCTACACTAAAGAGCTCCACTAGATGAACTTAAGCTATAAAGCAAGCTCTTAATTCTAGCTATACTAAAGAGCTTGTTACAACTAGTTTGTGGGAATATAAATGAGTGAGTCTGGTAATTATACCCCCACGTAGATGAGTGAACCAATCACAAGATGAATACCAATTGAATCAATGGGAGAATACCAAAGGGCAAGAGACAACCAATTTTTCTCTCGAGGTTCATGTGCTTGCCAGCACGCTAGTTCCCGTTGTGTCGACCAATACTTGGTGGTTTGGCGGCTAAGAGGTGTTGCACGAACTTCGTCCATATAATTCGACACCGCAAGAACCTACCCACAAGTGAGGTAACTCAATGACACGAGTAATCCACTAGAGTTACCTTTCGGCTCTTCACCGGGGAAGGTACAAGACCCCTCACAATCACCGGAGCCGGCCACGAACAATCACCAACTCGTGCCGAAGCTCCTCCGCTACTCCAAGCCATCTAGGTGGCGGCAACCACCAAGAGAAACAAGAAACCCGCAGCCACAACGATCCCCAAGTGCCACTAGACGCAATCACTCAAGCAAATGCACTTGAAATCACTCCCAATTTTACTATGATGATGAATCAATTATGGAGATGAGTAGGTGGTGTTTGCCTAGGCTCACAAGGATGTTAGGAATGTCAAAATGCCAAGAGAGTCATCTCTAAGCCGGTCAAATACTATTTATAGAGCCCCTCAAACGAATAGAGCCATTAGGGTCAAAAGAGGTGGCTCTGCATACTGACCGGACGTGCCGGCCAGGTTGACCGAACGTGCCCGAGCCAGCGTCTGGTCGTGGATCTCGTGCCACGTGTCAGCGCTTTGAATGTCACCCGTTCATCTTTAACGGCTAGCTCTCGATCGCGCGAACACTTAAGTTAGGACTGGACGCATCGAAGGAATCGACCTGACGCTGCGTTCTTCGAGTCCGGTCAACTCCAAAGACGATCCAGAGCAGGAAAAACATGACCGGACGCGTTCGGTCATAGAGGACCTGACGCGCCCGTGCGTCCAATTAGAGTCCTGCTCCATTGCGCGCTCACCCGAGGCTGACGTCAGCGTACGTCAGCACACACATGATGCGAGGCCTACGCGTCCGATCGCGCTACCGCGCCGCTGCTCAAAAGGTGACCGGACGTGCCGGTGCATCTAGGGCCAGCTCCGGTCAGACCGACGCCAGCATCCGGTCAGTAGCCTTCTCCTCCTTTTCTTTTTCTAAGTCCACAACCACTTCACACTTGCTTCTAACTTGCTAACCACAAAGTGTAGAACTTGTGTGTACGTGTGTTAGCATTTTTCAAAGCATTTTACAAGGGTCAAAGTTAGCACACTAGGTTCCTAAATGCATATACAAGAATCATGTCACCTAGTGACACTCGATAACCGCTTAGCCAAAGATTTTTCCTCTTTATAGTACGGCTATCGATCCTAAGTCACTCACACCCTCTATGATGTCTTGAGTGCAAAATAAAAACCTATCTTATACCTTTGCCTTGATCTTCTCGGTTTTTGTTTTTCTCTTTCTGCTTTTCCAAGTTGAGCTTGATCATCATCATCTCATATCCATCTTTAACTCCATGGACCTCATCTTGCTCAATCACTTGGATTGCACCAACCTAGCTCATATCATCGCTCATGATAAAGGTTAATGCTAGGTTTCATTAATTATCCAAATCCAAACTAGGGTTTTCACTCATGCCACGGTCAGGGAATAAAAAAGAAAAGGGGAGACAGGTAAAGTTCAGTCTGTTAATAGAGTTCGCTGCTATCCCCTCATTATTCTAATTGCAGACTTATTAAAGTAGGGTCCTGCTTGAGTGCATATGGAAGACCAGCTATGGGGCCAGGTTTTCTATTTAGTTGGCTAGCCCTGGTAATTCTGGGAACAAGGGTCTTAAGATGGGTCTGTGCGTTGTCAAGCGTAACTCGAAAAGATAGATGAACCGCGAAATGGCCGATTGGTTTGATTCTTCCTACAAGAATTTGGAGTTTATTGGCCTCAGGAACGTTGATGGAATGATCCAAGGCATCCAACTATGCGTCTGCGGCAACCGACATTCTCTCCAGCAGTGGCTCTGAGCTGGTCTGTCCTCCCACCTCCTCCAATAGCTCCATCTTAAGCTTTGAATTTGGCAGGAATGTATTAATGTTGTTGATACATCTGTTTGTACTTCAAAGGAAATTTTTGTATATACTACGGTATGCTATTTGTTGCTTTGTGGTTTACTCACTTCATCCCGCACCCCCTGACTCTCCAAACAACATGAAAGATGTGTGACATGAAACACTTGAATGCAACATACGTATGAAACAGATGAAACATCAGAACACTTGCACATATGTCTGAAACATATGCAACATCCAGATAAAACACTTGCAACTTGCAACATGAAAACACTTACTGAAACAATTGAAACATTTGGAACATATTTTTGCAACATATATGTGAAACATATGCAACATCCATATCAGAACGCTTGCAACATACGTCTAGAATAGATGAAACATTTTGAACAAACCTCTGAAGCACTTGCAACATGCCTCGGAAACAGTTGCAACATGCCTCTTGATTCAGTTGCAATATGTGCAACATCATCAATCTACTTTTGCAATATTCATATAAAACAATTGCAACATACCTATAAAACACCTGGAACACTTGAAATATACGCTTTCATTGCAACATCTCCTTGCTGAGATCGCGTATTGCGGCGGCCATGGTGTCGACAACGGCCACGACCTTCTGGAGGGAAACGGCGGCGTCGGCAACACCTTGGCGCGCAGCAGCGGGGGCGCCGCACGCAGCGAGCTGGAGCGAGCGCGACGGGGGATGGAGCACGGCACGGCGATGGAGGAGGGCGCGGCGTGGGATGAATAGCAGTGCTAGATGGGGGAGCCGCGCAGCGTGAGATAGGGTGCGCGGTGGGGAAGACGGCACCGACAGGCGCACGACGCAACAACACGCGACGAGACGGCGAGATATTTTTTTAGAGAGATGGAAAGATGCAGAGAGGAAGCACGGCACGGACGAACGGACGCTCGCTCCTAAACATTAAAGTGTACTCCCTCCGTCCCATTGAGTTTGTCGCTCGGGAAGCGGGATTGTGAGGGGGGCACGGTTTTCAAACGACAAACTCAATGGGACGGAGGGAGTACATCATACACACACCGAGAGAGTAACTGCATAACTCATGGATTAGCAAGTACTTTTTTTTTTTTGGAAACGATTAGTAAGTACTATTGGTAGCTCGACCCTTGGCCCGCCGCCTGAACTCGTCTCGCCAGCGGCCGGTCTCCTCTGCGCCGCCAACACGGAGAGGCGGAGAGGAGACTGCGCTCGGTCGAGCACCACCTGGGGCCCAGCGTCCTCGCGACCAGCTCCGGCGCGGCGTCCGCCCTCTGCAGCCCCGGTGTCCCCGCGACCGTCGCTGCTGTCCTACTTCGCCACTCGCCACCTTGGCCGGCGACGAGCACCACCAGGTATTCCCTCCCCTTGTCCTCCCTTCCTGCTGTGCGAAGCCGTGCGCCCAAACCTTAACGAAATTCGTAGGTAAAACCGTGCGCCCAAACCGTGACATACTATTCGTAATCGGATCTGAATCTAATTACAGGTGTATACGGCGATGGCTCGGAGCCCCTGCGACCTCCGCCTCCTCCTCCTCGCTGCCGCTGCAGCTTTCATCTACATCCAAGTATGGGAGCCTACCTGCACTTTCTTTATGTCTCTTTGTCCACTGTCCAATTGAGATCTCAGTGGTCCGGTCTCCGGATGCTATGATTTCACATTCTATTTCCATCTCTATGAGTGAGCTATACTGACACAGTCTCTCCCTTCAGGTGCGCCTTTTTGCCACTCAGTCCCATTATGCAGATCGTCTTGCAGAAGCAGTAAGTAATATTAATTGTCTCTCTTTCCTTTCTATGCATTTCCATTGGAAGCCTCCCATCTTTCTGTGGACTCACTGTAGGACTAGGATCGAAGGCACTCCATAACTCAGTTGTTTACACCTGTAATTTGCACCATACAGGAAAGATCTGAAAATCAGTGCACCAGTCAATTAAAGTCCTTGATCGATCAAGTCAGCATGCAGCAAGAGAAGATTGTAGCATTGGAAGGTACAGACACCTTAAACTTGCACCTGCTTTACAATTACAACTCAAATCAGGCATATCTATGGGGTTGACCAAGTGTAACGCTTGCAAGATAGAATTGATTACGATATATAGTTCCTGGCACTGTCTTGGATATTTACTACTCAACTAATGCTTGCTGCAACTTTTAGTTTGCCGTGCTGTGCTCTGTGACAAAACTTACTACGGCTTTTGCTGATGATAAATTGTTACACTGCTCATCTTCACCAATCACCTCCTGAATAAGCTTGTATATCTCGACACTGCTTTGATCATGGCAGTACAGATTTGCTTTTCCCTGCTTTATGAAAATTCCTTCTATTTCTTTTGAGGTGTTGTCTGCTTTTGTGTATTATCTTGACTGACAGATCTAGTGGGTATTTAACATTATAAAGTTTCGGTGATGCAACAGAGATAAAGGTACGGCAAGATGAAGAACGTGCACATCTGAAGATTTTGATAATGGATCTTGAAAGTATGAACCATTACCTTCTTCTAGCATTTGATTATTCATTTTGTTGGTTACCTTTGTCCTCCTTAGTTGAATTTCTTTGTCCTCCCACTGTTTCAGTTATGATACACGGAAAAAACTTTTAGGTTGTAGGATACCACATCATTCACCCATCATAACCTTGCCATACTGGAGCATTATGCACACAGTTGATCCTCCATGTATTGTGAACAACTCATAAACAGTCTGACTGTTTTATCATCTTGAAATTATCATTCTTTTGAAGAATTTTATCATCTTGAAATTATCATTCTTTTGAAGAATTCAACTGTCATTTTCGATGACTTGTATATGTGAGATGAGAATATTTTAACCTTTATATACTACTCCCTCCGTCCCAGAATAGAAGACGTTTTAGGCTTGGGCACGGGAATTAAGATCTGAGTAAAGTGTGTTTAGAAATAGCATTGCAACAAATGGACCGTAGTAAAATTTGATAAATGTTGTCCAAATGCCAAATTAGACACCTTGTACTTAAACCTTGCAGCTGCCTTCTGCTTATTGGGTCGAAAATTGCATTTTGACTTAATTTACACTGTTCTTCCTTTTATGTATATTCTACGTCTACCCTTGTGTACTATCTAACCCTTTATTTAATAAATGCAGAAAGGAGTGTGCAGAAGCTACTAGACAATAATGTGGTTCCTGTTGCTGCTGTTGTCATAATGGCTTGCAATCGACCGGACTATTTAGAGAGAACAGTTGAATCTATCCTGAAGTATGGTTCACATCTGAATCATTCATTTTCAAAAATATCTATTCTTTCTTCTTAATACAATGAGACGCAGATCTCCTGCGTTTTTCGAGAAAAAAAAATCTATTCTAGTATTCTACTCTTGATTTCCTAAAATGTTTCCTAAATTGGAACTGGTACCCACCCAGTGTTAATCATTTGTGGTTCTATACACAGATTTAAGTTGCATTCTTCATTGCTACCTGTTAACCCTGTTTAGCTCAATTTAGCTTGGTGCATAGAGCTTCTTTCTAAATGACTGATGTATGTGTTGCAGGTATCAGACAACAGTTGCTTCAAAGTTTCCACTTTTTATATCTCAGGTACTGATATACCATTCTTTTCTTGGATCCACTAAATGTGTGGGAAGTCCTTTTTTTTCATCGGTTCTTGTCACAGGATGGAGCAAATGGAGCTGTGAAAAGGAAAGCTTTGGAATATAAACAAATAACATATATGCAGGTGCAGAAATAAATGTTGTGTTGGTTTTTTTAGAGCTCTCATTCTTATTTAACTGGTACCGTAGAACACAGTCCATTGTGTTCTTTGTATTTTAAGCATTAGACATTGTCACAGAGAGGTGATGTTCATATTAGGAGTAACAGAATCATTTTCATTTCAGCACTAGAATCCTTTTTCTTTTTTGAATCTAGAGTCCTTTTTTGTATTCCATTAATGCATTCAATATATTACCCCTTGGGCTGTTCGATACAGTTATGTGTTATTCATAACAGTTACTTGTGGAATTTTACATAGCCCTGATGGAGAAAACCCTTGCATTATTTTGGTAGCATTAGGGTTTAACATATCTGTGAGGATCTCAAATAGGATGATGGCATTGACTCCAGTATGAAATATAGAATAGAGACCAAAAGACCTTGTTTTACTCTGGTGTCTGTTTTCACTGTGAGCTAAATGAAGGTCGAAACGAACTTGCCTTGTATTGGAAATCAATGATTCAAATTCACATCGGTAGTATGTTTCCCCCCTTCGTTAGTTGAATTGGTTTCCATGCAAAGTAGTAATTGATTCATTTAGCTAAGACTTTCTTTGGTCTTTATGCTTTCTATATGTCGCAGCATGTGGATCTTGAACCTGTGCAAACTGAAAGGCCAGGAGAATTGACAGCATATTACAAGATTGCTAGTAAGTGCTCATTAACTGATGTATGTGTTCTTAAGGATTTTATGTGGTTCCTAAATCCTAACACTTGCACTTGTTCAGAACATTATAAGTGGGCCTTGGACAACCTATTCATTAAACATAACTTTGCTCGAGTAATCATTCTAGAAGGTCTGACATCTATGATGATCCTTTTCCATTTATTACTACATATTTTTGTTTTCCAACAGGTTTTCATAATTCATTTATTAATAGATGACATGGAGATTGCCCCGGATTTTTTCGAATACTTTGAGGCTGCAGCTAAATTACTTGATAATGACAAGTATGTTACATTATTATGCTTTCTAATTGCAAATCTGAGGAACTCGATATATAAATTTCTCTACTCACTTTCCTTCTATTCTAATCATTATGGCATGGAAGGACTATTATGGCTGTTTCTTCTTGGAATGACAATGGGCAAAAGCAGTTTGTTCACGACCCAAGTTTGTACTATGATACTTACTTTCAAATTCCTTTCCCTATTTAGAGGGAATACTATTCACTTTGCTATGCTAGCGTTCTGCAGAAGCTCTTTACCGCTCGGATTTCTTTCCTGGGCTTGGATGGATGTTAACAAAATCCACTTGGATTGAACTGTCACCAAAGTGGCCTAAAGCATATCCTTACTGCTTCCTAAATCATTTTTATTACTAGCTGTGCTATTTCTCCACTTTTTATCTAGTTTTTCCTTGACGAGATTTTACTTATTGGGATGATTGGGTGAGGCTAAAGGAGGTACATGGAAGTCGGCAATTCATACGCCCAGAAATTTGTAGAACATACAATTTTGGCAAGCATGTACGTTGGCTATTCTTCCTCAATTTTCTTAATTAAAATACTAGCAGTTGCTATAGCAATAGGAATAGCAGTCACCTGTACCACATTTCTTCATGCAATAAAGACCAACAGGTAACAGTCAAAAGTGAACCTGCCACGGCAAGTACCATATTTCTTTGTGCAATAGAAACCAACGAGCCATTTGTGGCCATCTCACAATTGCTGGCATTATATTTTCTTTGCAGGGATCAAGCTTGGGACAATTCTTTGAGCAATATTTGGAGCCCATTAAGTTAAATGATGTTCATGTATGCAAAACTTTCCATATTGTTCATTTTGTAATCCTGTTACGAGCTACTTGTGGCCGAAATTTACTTGTTCTTATTTGTGGCCACAGATTGACTGGAATTCTGAGGATCTGAGCTACCTTGGGGAGGTAAGAACTGGTAATTGGATTTTGAAGGCTCTCGTTCACATAAGAAGTGCCTAATCATTGTGATACTGTTAGGATAAGTTTTTAACCAAATTTGGAAAAGAGGTAGCTAGTGCCACTCCTCTCCATGGATCGGATGCTGTGTTGAAAGCCCACAATATGGCTGAGGATGTAAGGATCCAATACAACGATCAGGAAGATTTTGAGCGGATAGCTCGTCAATTTGGAATATTCGAAGAATGGAAGGTTTATTCTTAACCCAAATCTAGATAATTTCCTTAATTATGTGAAGCAACAGTTTTTCATATGTTGTAGATGTAGTTCTTTGCTCTGTTATCAATTGCTGATTGGGATTTGAAAAGCAGCAGGGTATCATGATTCTTTATTTTTTTTAAATCCAGGACGGCATCCCAAGAACAGCTTACAAAGGAGTAGTAGTCTTCCGGCACAACAGTAGTCAAAGGCGAATATTTCTTGTCAGCCCAGATTCTCTTCGTCAGCTGGGAGTGTAGCGTATTGATGAAGTAAATTTCACTATGGAGTTGAGGTGAACCCTTGTTTTAGCAAGGGTTGGAATGGCAGGCAAATATCGGGGAATGCTTAATTGATTTCTGTGAGCATGGAGCAATCAGGATGCATGGTGAAGAAAATTTTGAGAAGTGATTGTGTTGACCCAAGGTACTGAGTAGTAGAAGCATGGGCTTGGTTTATTGGACATTTGCAAGATATAATCCAGCATTATTATATTTTTCCCTGCACCTGGAAATGTTTAGTCAGCAAGGGACTTTTTAGCCTGGAGTGTATTTAGGGTTTTACACGATGCAGTGGTATACACTCAAAAGAGAATGTAGCAGACTAGCTGACCTGACACTCGATCCTAACGGTAAAAGAAAGGTGTATTTTTATGATCAAATTTTCTTCTTGGGCATCTTGGAATATCAAGATGGATGGAATCTTGGGCATTCATATTTTGTACTGTTTTGTGGTGACTAGATGTGCGACAAGATTAGAGTATAAGCATCCAATCCATTCCATTGAGTTATTGGGCTGTCTTGTTCTGAATATGCTGTGTAAACTGGAGTGATGGATTCTGTTTTTGTGCAAGCTATTGCCCTAGTAACCTTTTATGGTTTATGTGTATACATATAGTTATAACTTATAGGTAATGCAACATTCTGAAATTCTTTGATGTTTCTAAGTGTGTGGTTTGTGGAGGATGGGTGGGAGTTTCTTCCATCCAAATGCATGGGATTGATTTCCCTGGTTAAGACGGGATTTGAGACCACTTCAAAATTCAATCCCCGTTAGTTAATTTCTATGTTTTTTTAATGCCGAGTGTCCAACCAAAGGTTGTAGAGTTATTTCTGCATACGCAGGCAAGATTCTCTCCATAGTCTTCTGATGTTCTTGACTCAATTGAAATTGAAATTGAGACGACCTAATTTATACTCGTATATATTTGGCAAATTTTGGGCTGGCACACTGGGGAAACGCTGTTTTGGCTGCGGCACACCGCCAACTGCGTTATTGGCTGAGACACATTGCGAATTCGGGTTCCTTTGTTGTAACACACCGCGCGTAGTAAACAATCATTTTCCCTGGTTTTGGACAGAGAACTTTTTGGAAATGACAATGGGTGCCCCTGGGTCGACTTGACTTGCCTGGTTGACCTAGCTGCTCTTGCAATTCCCCATCCCTGGCCGCCATGAGTCTCACCACCGCCACCAGTTTAGCCGTCACCCTCCTCTCCGCACCTGCGCTCCCTCCTTGTCCACAATCGGCGCCACCTTCCTCTCCGCAGCTATGTGTCCATAGATCCAAGCAGAGGAGTTGGACGAGATGGCACCAGAGAAAGGGGAGAATCGCTTGGGACCGAGGAATGAATCGCCATCGAAGGGCCTAAATCTTGGTTGGGTTCCAGAAGGGTAAGCATTTTTGGCCATTTGATGTGCAAGTTGTTCAATTAACTATTTCAGTGTATCTCCATCAAGTGATTTGGTTCTATTTGGCGTTATCAATATGCGTTAAAGCCTCGGTCGATTTAGGGTTTCAATTATGAATCACTTTTCATTGTTCCCTACCATTTGTTTCATTTGTTTTAGGATGGATAGTAGTTCGGCGTGCAGAATTGCTACGCACGTTCCAAATTATGTCGAGGTTTGCGATGATGGTAGTCATGTAGTGCACCCAGATTCAAATCTTGAGCTTGTTGTTGATCGTGATTCAACCAACTTGATGGACCTAAAAGATGAAATAGCAAAGGGAGTGAAGCATGGTTCGAATCAAGGAATATCAATTTGCTATTGGAATAGGACTGTGTCCGCTTTCACCAATGTAACTTCTGATGCCAGCTTGATGGATGCAATAGACCTGTATTGGGAGATGAGGAGGTTGCCTCTATTTGTGGCAGTTTATGACACAATGACAGTTGAGCACAGCCAAAGTGTATCTGTTGAACCTTCTGCACATCATGTCGGCAGTGCTAGTGTTGCCACAGAGCCCCTCCCTCTGGCTTTGATTGAGTCTGTTGCTGAGGATGAGACAGAAGATGTCGTAGCTAACAATGCAGAGACAGGGACTACCAAAACCAAGGCTAAGTCTAAGAGAGGTAAGGGAAGGAAAAGGGATCTCTCAGATGATGAGGAACCATGGGATGACGATGAGGTAGAATATGTGGGTCTAAATGATGAGCATTCGTATTTATCTGATGTTGAAGAACAGCTAGAACATGAGGGGCAATCAACTGATGGTGACTGTAGTGAGTTGGATGACCTTTTTGTTGATGATGAAGCTGGATGTGAGATTGTTGAACATGTGACTGATCTGGAGAACCCAACCATTGCTCTTGGTGTCACATTTGAAGATGGAGATACTTTTAAGAGGGCAATTAGGCAGTTTGCTGTTCTTAATGAGTTCGAAATTGATGCACATTACAGTGAGGCTAAAAGGTATAGAGGGTTCTGCAAGGGCAGAAGTAGCAAAAAGAAGAAGTGTAGGTGGAGGATTCATGCTTCTGAGCTGCAGGATGGCAAGACATGGTAGGTCACCATACCTGCTTTTACAGTTATATGCGGTGTATTGTTTGTTTTATGCCCTTGTAAGCTGATTTAGCCCTTCTTTTTTGTTGCAGATAAAAAAGCTCCATGCTAAGCATAACTGTGCTAGCACTTCCAAGCTTGACCAGAACTGCATGGCTACCAACAAATGGGTCAGAGACAGAGTCATTGACATTCTTAGGGATCAACCAAATACTGGAGCTGCAGAACTAAAGAAAGATCTGGAGAAGAAGTTCAAGATCATGCTATCTTACTACGTGGTTTGGGATGGGAGAAGGTTGGCTCTAGAGCAAATAATGGAAAAGTGGAATGACAGTTTTGCTGATGCTTTTAGTTTCAAAGCAGAGGTAGAGAGGACCAACCCTGGAAGCATAGTGGAGATAGAGTATGCTCCTGTTGGTAAAAAGATGAGGTTTACTAGGATGTTTATTGCATTGAAGGCTTGTGTAGATGGGTTTCTCAATGGCTGCAGGCCATTTTTAGGTGTTGACTCCACTGTTTTGACAGGAAGGTGGAGGGATCAATTGGCATCAGCTTCAGCAGTTGATGGTCACGGCTGGCTATTTCTAGTTGCATATGGGGTGTTTGAGTCAGAGTCCGTAAATAGCTGGAAGTGGTTTTTTGAAAAGCTTTAGACTGCAATAGGCTCACCTCCTGGACTTGTGATATCCACAGATGCAGGCAAGGGTATAGATAGTGCAGTTACAGCTGTGTTTTCAAATGGAGTGGAACATAGAGAGTGTATGAGGCATCTAGTGAAGAACTTTCAGAAGAGGTATAGAGGGGCTGTTTTCAAGAAACACCTTTGGCCTGCATGTAGAGCTTTTAATAAGAAGCACTATGATCATCACTACAAGACCATGCAGTAAAATGGATAGAGGAGAACCACAAACATTTGTGGAACAGGTGGAGATTCTCACCGGATAGCAAGTGTGACTATGTCATAAACAATATTGCAGAGACATTTAATAGTTGGATCAGAAAGGAGAAAGCACAACCAGTCATCCCACTGATGGACAGGATAAGGCAGATGATCATGGAGAAGCATGACCTTAGAAGAAGGTTATCCAACAAGATGACAGACAAGATCCTTCCTCATGTAACTAAAGATCTGAATGCAAAAAGCAGAAACCTGAACTATGTCATTCATAGAGGACACAACAACATAGCTGAGATTCAAGGCACAACTAAAGAGCTGAAGACCTGGAGACACACTATTGATCTAGATAATAGAACATGTAGTTGTAATAGGTGGTAGATCATTGGGCTCCCCTGCACTCATGCCCTTTGCTTCATTAACTCACTTAAAAACAAGAGTGCAGAGGACTATATTGATGACTACTACTCTGTTGATGTGTTCAAGAAGGCATATGCCGGAATTGTAATGCCTATGACAGATAGGAACCAATGGCCCAAGGTAGACATGGGTTTCAAAATGTGGCCACCAATCCTAAAGAGGGCAGCTGGCAGACCTAGAACAAGAAGGATAAAGGGTGCAGAAGGAGAAGGGAGAACCAGTGGAATGAGACAGTGCAAGAGGTGTGGACAATTTGGTCACATGATGAAGACTTGTAATGAGACAGTGTATGACAGTGATGCTCCACCTCTAGCCGCACCTAAGCCAAAAAAGAGAGGAACAAAAAGACAAAGGCTACAAGCACTGCATCAACCCAACAATCCCAAACTGGAGCATGTTCCATCACCATTACAGCCCCACTACTAACCAACAGTCCTACAGGCAACACTAGGAGGTTACATATCTCACTACCCTTGAACTTGTAACAATTTGCTTCTACTGTACTAATGTCTTTCATTTGTTAACAGTCGCAAGAGGAAGATGGAAAGAGATGGTGCAGAATCCACTGATCGACAGAGTACGAAGGGAGTGAATGGAAAAAAGGCAAAACAATGCAAGGGAGACAAGGTGCAGCCGAAGAAAGATCTGGGCAAGGCCAAGAAGCAGCTGGTGATGGATGTGCTTATCGAGTGAAATAATTGCAAGTGTAGTGTTTGCAACCTGCTGATGATGCTTTTGGAAGATGACTGCTAATGTTGTCTAGAACTATGCTTTTGTAGCCTTTGCAATTTAATTAGCCATAATTGGCCTAAATTCAGACTTTTCGTTGTTATGTGACTTGGCTATAAGCCAAACTTGAAGGCTTAAATTCAGACTTGTCGCTGTTATGTGACTTGGCTCGAAGCCAAACTTGATGGCTTGTAATGTTAAGACTAGATTGACTTGCACTTGATCTATTTTGTAGTTGCCATGCACTGAAACACATACACTTCATTGACAACCAAATTAGAACATCAGAACATACAATAGCATTCATTAACACATAAGGGAGACATAAGTGATAGACATCAACTAAAAGTTCATACAGGATGCCTACATTAACTCTGACAAATCAATGCTCACTTCACTAACACCACCAAGAGAAGTAGCACTACAATGA